TTTGGATGATTTCAGCTCTCGAATTTCCAAGTCTCTACTGAACAAGAGTAAAAGATGACTATTCATTTGAAAACAACAACGTTATGACATCACAAGGTGGAGCAGAGGATTTTGAGCTTTGGAGATGTAGCAGATTTTGTGAAAGATAGGACCTTTAAGTAATATTATTTGCATCGCGCAACTTTTCTGGTGGATAGTCCGTCAAATGTTTTCTCCGTAGAGATGTTATTGCTTTGTCTGGAATGTTTCACAGGTATGGCTTTAAACCGGACCAAGTTACAGGTCAGATCTGCGAAGAGGCAATCAGAATTCCTGTTTTTCTATGTAATTTTGAGCAGTAAAGTTACATGTAATTGAGTAAATGTAAGGTAAAGCTGTTTAATGTCATACTGTGGAACATTCCAGGCAAAGCAATAACATCTCCATGGAGACGAAGTTGCGCAGTGCACTTTTAAGGTATGCCTCAAGTGTTGAACTATACATTTTCATACACCCTACTACTTAAATCCAGTTTTTTGGTAATATTATATTTACATTTTTACCATGATAAAGGATTCACATATTTGTAGCTGAAATGTAAACTTCCGCTGACAGATGAACGTCTACAACATCTTCAGTGATCTAACGCTTTCTGTATTCAAGGAGACCTCTCATACATCACTTAGAGCTGGGAATATGAAAAAAATATTCCTCAAAATATTTTAATCTCTTACATATTTTATCACAGCCCCAGTGGCGATAAATAATCCAACATGCCTGACTGTATCTGCTTGTTCTTGGTCTCTGGGGCGGATTAGTCATCTGCTTTTCACAGTGCACTCAAACTCACTATTTACAACACAGAAAGAAAAGTCCACACCGAGCTGCAGAGTGTAAACCTGTTTAATTAACATTTGTTCATATGAAAATAATATAACAATACCATAATTGTGTTGGAGGGCTGTTGTTTTGTCTGTCCTTGATCACTGGACTTGAAGAAAAGTTGCAGAATTCTTGTTTTCGTCGAAGGGACTTTGACTGAGGAAGCAGTCATGCAAAAATGACTTCAGAGCGATTAGTGTTGGAGCCGCTGAAGCAATACATATCCGTGAATATTGTGCTCTAAAGAGAACTAGAAATGATAACTTTTCTCTAACAAAAATGGCTGCCAGTATAGTTTGACACAGCTCCTCCTCATTTCCTCATGAACACATCCAAACATATTCCACACTGTAATCTATGTAAAAGTGCATAACGTCACTATGACAGAGCAGAGATTGAGAAAATCAATCCTAACTATACCATCGCCAACACAATATATTTCATGGTAACTCTTTATAATAACTGCACCTTAATTAGCCTTAATAAAGCATGAACTAAGAATTCATAACCAACAAATATATAGTTTAAAGGGGGTATAAAGCAGAATACATATTTTAGCTTTCTGTGTTATGTTTTGTAACGTTTTTCCTCATCAAAAACACGAAGAGGTTTTAGATGTCATCCTTGCATGTTTGAATAATTTAGCGATCTCTCCCAGGCCCTATCCGATCCCTCCCTATGGTTAGTTAGCAGTAAGATTCTTTGCAATGCTTAGCCCCCAAGCCTATGTCACTAATTCTCCGTAAATATACAAAAATGATACAAAACTGTACACAGCATCTTGACAAACCTGATGCCATGTGCAGTAGTTTCATTAGCGGGATGCACACTGATTATAATGTGATAGTGCTGTGAAGGGGGAGTGACATAGCACCTAGAGCATCAAAACCAAAGTGAAAATTAAAGCGATAAAAGGTAACATGGAGATCTAACTATATTATGTATTAGCAATTAATATTAGCCTGATTCATCAGCCGGTTTCACTTTTTGGAAACTGTCTGACCTCACAGCATTAGGATTCGCTTGACTGTAGGCGGGTACTTTTTTATTTAACCAATCGCTGCTATTTGGTCGTGACGTATGTAATGTGCCAAATCCTGTAGAAGGGCAATAACGTCTTTCCCCTTGATAAAATTCACCAAACATTCTCTTTGTTCCGGCTTTAAATCCTCGATCTCTGGAATTGTTGCCAACACAGAATGTATGGTTTTGTCTACATCCATCTCAACCGCTTTGTTTACTGTTGTGCTGTACCACAAAAGGGACCCAGTCATCACGTCACAGCTCTTCGCTGATTGGCCGGTGCACGGTCTACAACTTCCAGTGTTCTTGCAAACCGTCTAGTGTATTCCGATTCCTGACCTAGTCGCAGGAGAGAAATGAAATTGAGCGCCATACCCCATAGAAGTAAAATACGTCCTCTTTAAGAATTATTCAGGCTTATGACAACTTAATTATGGAGTTAATAAAGAAGATAATAAAATAAATTTTTATAAACTGTTTGTTCATTGAGTCTTTGTTCATGCTTAATTAATCCAATATATAAGTGCAGTTATTATAAAGCGTTACCTATTTCACTCTTAAATATTAAATAACAACTCCATTATCATATGATTCCTATATAAGTATTTATTTAAGTATAAGTATATCAGAGAAAACACCTCTTCCTCACTCCTCTTTTGGTCTGTGGTGAATCTGTGAAATGTGCCAGGGAGAAGCTTTATATTGTCATGCTTGAAAGTGCATTGTGTAACTTTTCTGGTCGAGGGTCTGTCAAACGCTTTTCTCTGCGGAGATGTTATTGTTTTGTCTGGAATGAAATTTCACGGTATAGTATTGAACATTTCTATCATCATGGTGACCCAAACAGACCAAGTTACAGGTCAGATCTGTGCAGAGGCGATTCTGTTTACAGGTATTTTTCAGTTCTGTTTAGCTGTGCATACGACTGAAAGGTTTTCATTCTGCACTCTTTTCTCCAGTTTAATGTCTCTCTTTTTTTTAATTTTATGATGATTATTTATGTTTTGATTTGTTTTTATTGTGATTTTAATATATTTCTTATTCTGTAAAGCACTTTGTGTACGAATTGTGCTATACAAATAAAAAAACTTGCTTTGCCTTGCCTATGTTTGAGCTATAAAACCGTCTGTAATTCAAAGGTGCAACTTTTCCGGTGGTAAGTCCATGATCTGCTTGTCTTCATGGAGCTTGCTTTGTCTACTATCTCAATGGAAACAACTATAGGGTACATTACAGGTCAGATCTGTGGAGAGGCAACCCTATTCACAGAGCGATAATTGTATTTTTGAGCAACAGAAACACCCGTAATGAATAAATGCTAGATGGATGTGTTTAATGTCAAACCACTGAACATTCTGGGCAAAGCAGTCACATCTCCATGGACACAAGCAGATGACGAACCCTTAACCAGAAAAGTTGCGCAATGCACCTTTAATAAATGTAAGGTAGAGCTGTTTAATGTTATACTGTGGGACATTCCAGGCAGAGCAATGACATATCCATAGAAACAAGCAGGTGATGGACCCCCAACCAAAAAAGCTACACAGTGCAGCTTTAATTGACCCGTAGCTGAACACCACCAGCTCCACTCAGGCAAACATTTGTTCATCTGCTTTTGGTCCAAGCTGCAGGTGACAGGGCTGGTTTGATAATGGACCAGTTCTGAGTGATGGATCTCAGAGAGCCATTATTTATTTCCTTCCAACAGCTAGAGTTTGACAATTTATTATTCCATTGTATGGTTATGACAGTAATATCGGCAGCTGCAGCGTTCATAGCCCACCCCGCTAGCTGTTATCTTTTGCCAGGAACAATTTTACAAACCACTCATCACTGTGGTTTCAATTGGAGTAAGGCTTTGCTCCTCCAACACGATTTGAACATTTTTCAAATTGCATCAGTCCAGATTAGGAGAGGTTTGTTGTCTTGCTAATGCTGCTAGCTAACATTTGTGTGCCAAACAGTGTACCTGAAAATGTTAGCAATGTTTTAGCAAAAGGTCCATCAAGAGCGCTGAAAAACAGGTTTTAAAGGAGCTATATGTGTTTTTATTTCTTACGTAATATATAATTCACCTCGCTATAAAATAAAAACTATATATTTGTATAAAGACACCTGGTCTGTCCATATTAGATGCTTTGTGCTGCTCCCATAGACTGATAAAGAAACGGGCTAAAGGACGTCACCCACAGTGTCCGGCTCCAGTCAAATGAAGCTCATCGAGGCTTGCAGCTTTAGGAGTGAATTTGGAGCCAACTTCCATATTAGGACTAGGAATTTATTTGCGGACAAAAAGCGAAATAAAAACACTAGGATCATGTAGAGTGGGTTAATATGAATATTTTAAGACCAAAATGACAAGGCTCACTGCAGCAGCCTTTGTTCCCACATTTCCTTCATCATCAATTTGCATCAGATTTTATCCCCATTTCTCCCAATTTGGTCGTCACACCCAAACTATTATCCAGCAGCAGTTGAACACAGATTTCCCAAAGACTGGGTTGTGACCTTCAGGTGGGTCGCAAGACATTTATTTTGGGTCACCTTATCACGATCTGCATGTAGCTCTGATCTCAGTTCTGCCTCTACGCCTGATGTGTTGCGCTCTCCTCCTGCACCTCAGATTGGACGCTCTACAAAAACGCAGACAGGCCCACCTGAGTCATTAGAAATGTTGAAATGTTAAGACATGTTTTGTATAATGTCTAATCTTTTTGTAATGATTTTATTGACTATTTTGTTCCACTATTGCTGGTTCAATTGAATGTTGAAAAGAAAAATAAATTTAATGTCCAAATAGGCGACTTACTGATACATTTTATTGCTGGTTCAATTACTGTTTTTCATTGTTTAAAACTTGAGTAATACTAATTGTTCAGAGAGATGCAATCACTCAGTCAACAATAAAATATCCTCATTAATGTTCAATAATGGTTAAATCCACTTTTATTTTGTGATTTAAGAATAATCCACTTGGGTCACGAATGTTTGTGACCTTTAAAATATGGGTCTCCAGAAAAACGTTTGGGATACACTGATGTAGAGATCATAGTGCAAAGGACCCTAGGTTGAAATGACTTTGAATCATTCCTTGAAATGTGGTATAAAAATAAAAATGACTTGACATAGAGTTTTATTTCGAGAAAAGTTATAGGAATAAAAACAACATCTTAAAATTGAGGGAACATAGAGCTGTGGGAACATAGGGCCGACCCCACAAAGTGACAGTTTTTCAACGTAAACTCAATTGGGGCTGCAAAAATCAATAGAGCTGGAAGAATCCTATGCTTACTTCCTATTTGGACCAAGGCGGGTAGTGGGTTTGCGACTTATCGCTCAATATACGGTGAATGAACAATATTTTTTCAGGCTTAGCATTTATTGCGTGTCCCCTCTCTTCACACTTGTGGGTAATTTTTTTCTTCATTTTATGTAGAATTGGGCCTGTATGATAACATTTGAGTTGTAGATGGTCCAATAAATCGTTAATTTACAGTACAATTAAATGTCTCAAGGACACAGTAGCAGTATTCATATATGGGAGCAGGATTCGAATCACCAACCTTTGGATAAGAGGACAAGGACTTTACCAACTGAGCTAAAAGTGATATAAAATAATTTCAATATTATGGTTTATCGTGATATTTTCAGAATCAATATATCGCATTCCTAATTTTGCTATTATCTTTTTTTTTTTAAACTTTTTTATTTAATTTTATTTTTTTACATATAGCCCCTTTAATATCATAATTATCTTTAACCATTCCCTGTTTATCGAGTGCCCACCCATGACACGTGCTTGGTCCTCGCTGGCAGATAGAGCATTAAAATGTGCTTTGTCTATTCCTTGATTGTCTAACACTGATCTACAATGGCGTAAAATAAAAAGTGTGTGAACAAACGTCGGGCAGCTTTTTTCTAATATGTGAAAATAGATACTCCATAATAACCAGGTCAAAAGTCAGTGTGCTATAGATCTATTACAATTGCAAGAAGACATTAATATCGATTTAGCAGGAGAGATGCTAAATGTGAAGGTGGACTCACTGACAGGAGAGATGGCATGCTTCAAGTTTTGGCCTCTCGAGAGATGATGCGAGAAAACCAGGAATGACCCAACCGCCCATTTTAAAAAGTGCATTGTGTAACTTTTCTTGTGGAGCATCTGTTAACCTGCTTGTCTCTATGGATATGTCATTACTCTGCCTGGAATATTCCACAGTATGACATTAAACCAAGGGTGTAGGTTTGCATAGGGACGGTGGGGACATGCCACAACCAACATTTGGGGAAGACAAAATAGTCCCTACCAATATTTGCCATTTTATTTTAATAAACAAAAATATTAATTTATTCCGATATATTTTCCAAACTCAATAGTATTCATTTAACACGTTTTAGTTCACATATTAGACGTTCTGAGATATATTCAGTGATATGATGACAGGGTTACTCATGCCGCTATTTCATTGGCTGTAACAGAGTGATATCATTATTGGAGCCAGGAGCCTGAACTGGGGAAGCGGCAGGACAGGACCAGCACCTGAAGATGGCGACTTGAGCAAGCGTGAGTGACGACGCTGCGCACCAAACTTTGAAAAACTTTTCAAAAGGAACTTACTTGACTTCATCTTCAATTAAACTTGCCTTATGATGAGTCACCGTGGAAAAAGAGCGACTATCACCACAAATGCACCTCCTAAACAGAGCCCTACTCGTGCGCTGTCAGCAGCCCGACTCTATTGACAATATTCCATGGAAAAATGTACGGACATTGCCTCATAAATATCTCATCACCAACAAGCAAAGAGAAATCTGCTACAAACTTCTACCTCATTGTTATCAGGTAAAGAAGGTCAATGGACACAAACTGTACATTTTGCAAACTGAAAAATGAAACCACGTCTCACTTATACTGGACTTGCCCAGACTCTGTGTTTTTGGAAAGAATTCATAAAACATATAAGCAACTTTTACCCTTTCTTATTAATCTGTTAATCAAGTAATCTATCAGCTGGTTTTATGGGGGGTTAGTTGATAATGTGTCCACCAAGGCTGAGACCAAACCTACACCCTTGCTCTCTACACCACATTTTCTTGATATTTTTGAGTTATAAACCCACTTGTAATTTAGTAAAACAGACATTCTGACTCGGTGGGGTTGCTTCATACCACACTGTGAAACATTCCAGACAAAGCAATAACATTTCCACAGAGAAAGCCTTCGACAGACCCTCCACCAGAAAAGTTACACAATGCACCTTTAAGAAACCCAGTCTATCGCTGCAATCATACATTATTCATACAGTCACATGTACTTAAATAGACCTCTTCAAAAATCTTCAGATGGGAGTGAGGCTAGGCTAAATCGGGTTGAGCTCTTTTAACCATGTCCCAGTGCAGGAGATGTGTTTGGTCCACTGTGCATGTGCTTGAGGGGTTTGTGCTTTCTCGAAGTTGGAAATTGTCTTCATGCGTGGACAAGCTGAGTGAGAGATAGGACAGTCCTTGGTCAGTTCCATTGTATAAAACCCAGCTGCACACCAAAACAATTTCTGTGTTCACTGGCCACATTATTAGATACATTTTCTTAAGATCAGTATTAGAGATAGACGTAGATAGATATTTGCACTCTTTAGCGTATCAGCTATCGGCCATGAATCTTCATCATGCTGATATGTTTACTCAGGTAACCACTAAACTGACTAAAGGAGAGGCCTTTAGCTTCATTTAAATGCTTAAATGCGAAGAGGGCGCTGCTCAAACTGTGACTTGACCCATTTACTGTGGGTGTGCAGTGAAATAAAGTCATGGTTAATTTTGTTGTCATTTTAAATCATATTATTTGGATGGAAACAAGAAAATTGGAAAGGCTCATAATTTTAAAGGTATATTTTTACAAAGCTGATATATCTGTTAAAAATACATATGGATTTTTTTTTTTTTTTTTACCATACGCTGTTTGTGTTTAAAGAAAATAAATGATATTTTCAGTCTCAGCTCTGGTAATTGGTTGATATCAGGAATCGGTAGATACTTAATGCAAAAGTATCGGGATAGAAAAACTGGATCAAATCCCTTTACTTGAATAACCTTCCCCTTATTAACTTTGAGCAGGTAGCATACTATATTACATACTAGATAAAAAATAAACTTAAAACACTAGAAAATGTATATCTAATAATGTGGCCTGAAACTGTCTTTAAGTTGCAAATGCTTGATCGTTCTCTCTATAATATTCTCATCCACAGATCTCGTCCCTGTGAGATGGCGTCCACCCTCTGAGCCAGTTACACCGTAGTCTCTATCTTCTCGATGATCTCTATCATAGACTTGGATGGGGACAGCAGAGAGCACTCGTCCTGGTCCCAGAGACTGCCCGGGCTGGAGTTTCCGTCTGTGCTGAGTCCATCATCCTCCTCGCTGTCCTCACACGACTCGAGGAAGTGCAGCCCCAGAGCGTTGATGCCTGAGTCCTCCGAGCTGGATGGAGAAGAACAGTGCTCCATTTTGGGTCCTTTTACCTTGTCCACAGGTGAGGCGGTCTTGTGTTGCGTTTGGACAGCTGTTGGAGGTGGCTTGGCTTTGGGGGAGGCTGTGTTCTGTTTGGGGGCTTTGGGCTGGGGTGCAGGGGGGTTCTGGGGCACCTGAGGGGTAGCTGGGGCAGATGGGACAGGTGGGGGAGGGGTTGGAGGATTGGGAGGTTCAGGCATCGGAGGTGGAGGGCGCTGCACGTAGCACATTTTTCCGTTGATGCGTTTGACGATGTAGTCATCCACAAACAGGTCGGCGATGACGCAGTACTTGGGTGACTCGAGGGGAGGAGGAGACTGGAAGCTCGGGGCCAGCTTTAGGAAACGCTCAGCCAGAGATGAGGACAGGTCAATGGTGTCACTGTACTCCGATCCTTCAGGGGGCACTGCTGTGCTGGGCAGGTGACACACATTCGTCATGGGCTGGTACACATATTTACCTGAAAGAAACAAAAATAAACAGTATAAATATCACAACAGTGTTTATCTTGGCTATATGGTTATGGATGGATGGAGTATTACGTGATCATGGATCTATTAAAATAACTGGATAGGGTATTGCTGCTTGTAGCTGCCTCCAGTTGAGGTAGGGGCCACTCACTGGTACTTCATCAGAAAAAATCCACTGGACTTTTTCTCACAGAGTGCAATGTAATCACAAATGTCTCATGTTCGGCTGACAGGGCACCTACAACTTTCAAAAATGTCAGATTTTGTGGCAATTTTTACCTATTTTTAGATCATTAACTTTTTCTCAGCTCAAAATCCTTCAGTTGTCTTAAAAAACGCTTTATAATCGTTAGCTCCGGCTCCACTCTGCTCCGCTGTAGCTCATCTTGCTCTGATTGGTCAAAGCCATCATGTGATACACGAGCCCATGCTCCATGTGTGCACTTGTCTGCATTGGCGTGTGCCTGTGGGAGAAAAGAGCACCACTACGCATGCTTGATCGGCCCACACTAGAAGTACCTCGCCAGGCTAGGCTAATCGGGACTAATGCGCCATTGAGCTCAGCCCATTGACTTGAATGGGCAGCCATTATGAAACCCTCGGGCTTTTACGTGACCCAGAAGGGAACAACGAACAATCCAAGTTCTTGATGTTGAACTAGATTACTGAAGTGTTCTTGCTGAGAGATATTACACCCATAGACTGTCTAAAGAAGTGGACTAAGGGAGTGTGACGTCCCCTATAGTGTTCGGCTCCAGTCAAATGAAGCTCATGATGCCTGCAGTTATAGGAATAGGAATTTATTCATGGACAAAATACTGAAATCCAAACCCAAATTGCAAGGTTCACTGCAACAGTTACAGAGAAAGATGGGACCATTTTTCAACGTAAAGTCAATTGGAATGAGTATCGATGCAGCTGAAAGCGCCCCAATACTCCCTTCTGCGCAGCTAATGGGTTAGTTATGCTCATTTAAACACAGTGTACAATTACAATTCTCCCTCAAACCTCACTTCACAGAAAAACATATAGGTAAAACTTGAATTTCTAATCAAACCACTATATATGTATTATAAAACCAGTTTCAAATGTCTATACAATCAGTGCAGTGTTCAGCATTAGGAAAAAACAACACTGAGGGCAGCCTTGAATGGCACTTTGTAATCCATATACACTCAAATATAAGTGCTCTTATAAAATCCATATAGTGGCCTTTTAAAGTAAGTGCATGTGAAACAGCTGATGAGTTCACCATATTCAAGTGTCCGAGCTTTAATGCATAAAGTCCATTTGTTTTGGGCTGAATCAAACTCCAGAGTATTAAAGTTGAATGATTGTTTAGGATCACTCCATTGCTCCTCATTTGGTGTGTATCATTATTTGTACACAGAATATACATATGTAGGGCCAAACTTTTTTCATCAAGGGCCACATATTAAAACACGGACCAAACTGAGGGCCGATCAAAAGACATATACTGGGGGTTAATAGAGTGAATAATTTAAAATATGTGCGTTTTATAATAGGCTAGAATAAGCCTCTAGACCTGTATACACCCTCAACAGCACACACAAAACATTTAATACTGAATTTATCAAGGTAGATTTTCAAGTAGTAGTAGATGTAGTAGATGTAATAGATGTAGTAGTAGTAGTAGATGCAGATGTAGATGTAATAGTTGTAGTAGTAGTAGATGTAGTTGTAGTAGTAGTAGTAGTAGTTGTAGTTGTAGTAGTAGTAGATGTAGTAGTTGTAGTAGTAGTAGTAGATGTAGTAGTTGTAGTTGTAGTAGTAGTAGATGTAGTAGTTGTAGTTGTAGTAGTAGTAGATGTAGTAGTTGTAGTAGTAGTAGTATAGTAGATGTAGTCGTTGTAGTAATTGTTGTAGTAGATGTAGTAGTAGATGTAGTAGAGGTAGTAGTAGTAGCACTAGATGTAGTAGTTGTAGTAGTAGTAGTAGCACTAGATGTATTAGTTATAGTAGTAGTAGCACTAGATGTATTAGTAGTAGTAGTAGTAGTAGTACTAGTAGTAGCTGTAATAGTAGTTGTTGTTGTAGTAATAGCAGATGTAGTAGTGGCAGTACCAGTAGCAGTAGTAGTAGTAGTTGTTGTAATAGTAGTTGTAATAGTAGATGTAGTAGATAGTAGTAGTAGTAATAGTAGTTGTAGTAGTAGTAGTAGTAAGTAGTAGTAGTAGTAGTAGTAGTAGTAGTAGTAGTAGTGTAGTAGTAGTAGTAGTAAGTAGTAGAGTAGTAGTAGTAGTAGTAGTAGTAGTAGTAGTAGTAGTAGTAGTAGTAGTAGTAGTAGAGTAGTAGTAGTAGTAGTAGTAAGTAGTAGTAGTAGAGTAGTAGTAGTAAGTAGTAGTAGTAGAGTAGTAGTAGTAGTAGTAGAAGTAGTAGTAGTAGTAGTAGTAGTAGTAGTAGTAGTAGTAGTAGTAGTAGTAGTAGTAGTAGTAGTAGTAGTAGTAGTAGTAGTAGTAGTAGTAGTAGTAGTAGTAGTAGTAGTAGTAGTTGTAAGTAGTAGTAGTAGTAGTAGTAGTAGTAGTAGTAGTAGTAGTAGTAGTAGTAGTAGTAGTAGTAGTAGTAGTAGTAGTAGTAGTAGTAGTAGTAGTAGTAGTTAGTAGTAGTAGTAGTAGTAGTAGTAGTAGTAGTAGTAGTAGTAGTAGTAAGTAGTAGTAGTAGTAGTAGTAGTAGTAGTAGTAGTAGTAGTAGTAGTAGTAGTAGTAGTAGTAGTAGTAGTAGTAGTAGTAGTAGTAGTAGTAGTAGTAGTAGTAGTAGTAGTAGTAGTAGTAGTAGTAGTAATAGCAGATGTAGTAGTGGCAGTACCAGTAGCAGTAGTAGTAGTAGTTGTATAGTAGATGTAGTAGTAGTAGTAGTAGTAGTGTAGTAGTAGTAGTAGTAGTAGTAGAGTAGTAGTAGTAGTAGTAGTAGTAGTAGTAGTAGTAGTAGTAGTAGTAGTAGTAGTAGTAGTAGAAGTAGCAGATGTAGTAGTGGCAGTACCAGTAGTAGTAGTAGTAGTAGTAGTAGTAGTCGTAGTAGTAGTAGTAGCAGATGTAGTAGTGGCAGTTCCAGTAGCAGTAGTAGTAGTAGTAGTAGTCGTAGTAGTAATAGTAGCAGTAGCAATAGCAGTCAGTAGTAATAGCAGTAGTAGTAGTAGTAGCAGTAGCAGTAGCAGTAGTTGTAGTAAAAAATGCTACTTAAGGTAATATGGACCAATTTATCTGGAAGCCTGAGGGCCAAGAAAAATCAGTTTTAAGGGCCACATTTGGTGCCCAGGCCATAGTACTGTACAACTTCACTAGAATCATTTGGATATTTTCATCCCTGGAACATCCAATCTCTACTAAATAAAAGGTAAAAGGTTTGAAAACTACTGCTTCATGACATCACAAGGTGGAACAGGGTAGACTCAAACATGTATGAATGAAACAAAGCACAACTTGTGGTATGTTTTTGATGAAGTAACAACATTATACCACAGTCTGAATGCATAAAGTCCATTTTGTTTTTTTTTATTTATCATTATTTTAACACTGATCATGTACAGGGACTTGGAGCCTGGAGCTACTGAACTAAAAAGATGTTAACGATCCCCCACACACAAGACCCCGTTTACCCTTTAATCCCTGTGCAGTAATTCTATGCAGATTTGCTTTATCGTACTACAGATAGTATAGAAAAAAACGGCATAATTTAAGTGCCCGAACAAATGGCTGGGGAGGAGCGCTCGCTATGTCATGTCTGTAATAACTGATCATCTGCCCCGTGGTGGTGGTGGGTCCAATTTTCCCATCACAAATCTGCCAAGAGCAAAATACTACCTGTCCGTCCACCTCTATTTGAGACAGAACTCTGAACAAGTGGCGTTTAACATTCACCGAGCAAACACCTCGCTCTGACCTCGACAACTGAATACAAACTAGAGGAATATAGCCACACGAGGTTTAAAGGGCCCATATTACACAGTTTTATGATCTATGTGATAATGTTGTTTTCTCATCACAAACAGACCTGGAGTTGTGTTTTGTTTCATTCACACATATTTAACACACAAACCCTGCATATTTGGGCTGAGTTCTTCTCTCAAAACAGTAAACACTCTGTTCCACCTTGTGATGTCATGTGGTACAACAGGAAGTGCTCCACTGTTTCTGTAAACTTCATACATCTTCACTAGAATCATTTGGATAATTTCAGCCCTGGAATTGTTAATCTCTGCTGAATCAAAGGTAAAAGGAAACAGAACTAAACCAGCTCTAAACCAAAACTGAACCAGGTCTAAACCAGGACTAAACCGGTCTCAGTCCCGGTCTCAGTCCCAGTCTCAGTCCCGGTCTCAGTCCTGGCCTTAGTCCCGGTCTCAGTCCCGGTCTCAGTCCTGGTCTTAGTCCCGGTCTCAGTCCTAGTCTCAGTCCTGGTCTGGTCCTGGTCTTGTCCCGGTCTGGTTCCGGTCTCAGTCCTAGTCTCAGTCCTGGTCTGGTCCTGTTCTGGTCCCGTTCTGGTCCTGGTCTCAGTCCTGGTCTGGTCCTGGTCTCAGACAATATTAACAGTATATATTAATAACAACAGTTTACCTCACTGCACTTTTTAAATATCAGTCCTGTTCAAATTATGTATTTAATGTGGATCTATATTTACATAGCAATTGCACTTTGAAATGTATTACGTGACAGTCCTAATAAATGATCCTAAAATATAGCAGTAAACTGTCGCTTCACAGTAGAATATAGAGTAGAGTATTTTTCTCCTTCTTTGGTCCAGTGACTAATAGAATAAATGCAAAATGTATAAATGTTTTACTACTGGCTACCTCATTATTATGTGCAATATACAGTATTTATGATTAACAGCGCTCTGCCTCACTGCTGTTTTTGAATATTAGTCCTTTTCGAATTATGTATTTAAAAGCGCACTGTGTAACTTTTCCGTAGTGGGTCCGACACCCGAGCCAGGCTGGCACCACCTAGTCCCTCTGCTAAATTTCATTTTT